TCATTAGATGAAATCTGATTGGATGATTGAAGAGTGCTGATCATCTGGAGGAATAAACTGATTTTGGTTTTTTGAGTGAAAAATTTTTGGAAGATGAAAATGGTGTAGCAAATATTGCTACAAGAATATTGTGTATGAGGGTTGACTTGAAACAAACAATAAATCCACTAATTCTATTTGAGTGTGTGTTTTGAAAAGTATTTGGTTTAACAAGTATAATAGTAATGATGTGAATGATTTTTATAATAAAATAAAGGTAAGGAGGGATACAAGAGAACTGAAGAAAAAAGAACTGCCACGGGCCTTTTCTCATGCAACCGAAGGATAAGCAAGATTCCCAAACTTGAATAGACTTTGACCAGAGGTCCCATCCCATTGTATCAGTTGTCTTGAAGATTCTTGAGTTTCTGAGCTGGAGCTCACTTGTGATAAAAAGAGTAAAACAATTTTTCTTGCTTAAAATTACCATAAAAGAAAAATTTTTAACAAAATGGATGTGATCAGGAGAGAGTAATAAAATTTGGAATACTATTAAAAATAATAATAGATTATATTTAAAAATCTTAACAATTTTATTCAATTTTTAATTCTCAGGTTTATATTAAAATTATTATGTGGGTTATAACCTATCATTATTTTTAATAATGTTTTAAATCTTATATGAGTCTATACAAGTTTATTTAATTTCAATTTTTGGAATCATAATTATATTCCACTTATTAAATTAATATAAACCTGAGAATTAAATATAAAGTTAAAGAGAATTATTAAGATTCTTAGTCATAATACATAATTAAATTTATTATAAGCTAATATTATCTTAATATTATTTTAATATCAGTTCAAAACCTTATATAGATTTAAGTTACAATTCAAAATTCAAATACTATATCACTTTCTTATTATTAATATTTTTTTTTTTTTTTTTTACAAAAGGCATTAAATGTGAGACATTTATTAAACTTTTGTTTTTACGTTATTACATTAAGAATCTCTAACATATCAAGTAAGTAAATTAATCCTAGCCTAATACAAATAAAGTTGACATATGCGAACCTTTGAGAATCCAAGTAGGGGAAAGGAAAAAAAGGTAAAAATAGCTAGCTGCTAGTTATATAATAGACCCTGCATATGTGCTCCATAAGTGATGATGGTGGAGGGTGGTGCGGTGCTTGGATTTTGAATTGTGATCTGGACTCATGTAATCATGTGGCCAAAGATAGTGTAATTAAGAGTCACCGATCCTATCCATATTGGTAACCCAGATATCAATATGGCATGATTGACTTACACTAATCTTTTGATAGAGGTAAGCTGCTTATGGTTTTTGTTATGAAAAATTTGGGAGCTAGGTAAAACAAGAAGTCAGTTCTGTGGTCATTCTTCTTAAGTAATATATGGAATGATGGTATTGTCAGGTATTCAAGATAGAGTTGCTCATAACTGTATACTTCTGACATACTGGTTAGCAGTCTAGGCCCTCAACAAAGCAAGTCCTTATACGATCGGTACTACCAGTCAAATTTCCTTCTTTTACAACCTCTTCTTGCATTTGACTGACTTGACATGTAGTTATTGATTATGGAAAGGTATGCCTAAAACTTTTTCTTACTATTAATATTTATAATATATATTTATTTATTTAACAATACAACTAATAATTATTAATTGTTTATTATTTTTTTTTGTTTACTTGAATTTTCACAGGTTTATATATATCAACTTTTAATTTTTAACAGATTCTAATTAATTTATTTTATAATTTATTTTGTAAAAATTATTATTATTATTTTTTTTTTAAGGGCTAAAGTATGATACACATGAGGATTTTTATTGTAAATCAAAAATTACTTTATAAAAATTATTAATATATCAATTATAAATATTATATTTAATATCTATTTAAAAAATTAATAAATAAAATAGAATCCATACTTTTCAAAAAATCTACTAATTAACAATACATATTTCGACAATAGTGTTAGGTGGTGCAAAAAAATTTTCAGTATTATCAGAGACTACATAATATGTGAAAGTTCCTTTATCACTTAAACTTTTGAATGTGAGCATATCCCATATGGCTTCAAAATCATTATCAAATCCAATAAGAACATTAAAAAACTGCATAATAACAACTATAACAACATAATTGTATTTAGAATCAAACTACTCTTAGGCACTCTGCTCACTCACAAAATCCTTTATCAGTTATATCCTGACCAGTACTCAGATACTTGATGTCCAAAATGTAAACTCTATACTGAGAACATCTATCATATCTTCAAATGTCTTGAGACCTCTATCAAAGCTGATCAAATAATTAAAAATATCAATCAAATTCTCCATCCAAATAGCAACCAAATACTAATCTTACATATATGTCAAGTAGCTGAAATATCTTGCAGCTTTATAAATAAAATCTTCTTCATAACAAATTTCTCCAATTGGGTTAAGGCAGCTAACAAAGCCATAATCTAATTATATAACCTTATTTGAAAACTATGCTGCTTTACAGCCAACACGTCACTATCTACTAGAATTAAATAAAACTTTAATAAACTTTCCATATCACTTCATTCTTTCAAACTATCCAACAATCACAACTCTCAAATCGAAATTCAATCAATTATTATCTCTTCTAAAGAAATTATAATTAATTTACCTAATATAGTTACTAATATATTTATCCAATATAAATATAATTATTCCAAATATATTCAGAAATTAATATCACTATTATCTAACACCTCTTTTCTTAATACTGAGTAGATATTTATAACTGCTTAATATTATTTGACAAGATATATTGTTTTAAATTTTCTTTTCAATATTAGTCAAATAATTACTATAGGCAAGCTAGTATTTAACTTATTGTACTTGTATATGAGAGATGTTGTTTCTTTTATGATATATACCTTGATATATACAAACCAAATAAAGAAATGATGTTTACCTATAAAATAAAAAATAAAAATAAATAATAAATAAAAATAAATAAAAATTTTAAATATATTAAAATAATATTATTAAATTTTAATTAAAAAGAGATAGCAAATTAAATATTTTGATTTTTCTATTATTTATAAAAAACAATAACAATAAATTATTTAAATTATTATTATTTTTTTGAAAGAGTAATAGTTATTATACTTTGTTTTTTATTATAATTTTTACTTATATATATATATATATTTACTAATATAAGATTTACAATTGCTATATATTTCTTATATTTCTTAGCATTATTCAAAAATATAAAAAAAAAATTCAAAACCTATATTATATCTTAAATAATATTTAACTATCTAAAAATATAAATTATTTAAATTATTTCAATATATAAATTAATTAATTATAGATTGATAAAATTTTAAAATATTTTTTTTTGATTTTTTTTTTTAGCTTAATATTAAGTTATCTAATCTATTTTTTAATAAAACTTAATAAAAAAAAAATTCGTTTATTTCTCTTTAAACACTTGAAAATTTTTTTTTTAAAAAAATTTTTAAGTTGTTTATTTTTTATTTTTTATTTTTTTATTTTTTATCTTTTTTTTCTTTCTTTTATTATTTTTTTTTTATAATATTATATTTTTTATTAAAATTAAAATATAAAAAATTAAATTTTAATTATGAAAAAAATATTTTAAAGTTTTTTTTTTTAAAAAAAGGTTAAGTGCATTATATGTAAACATTTTATTAACTTAATATTAAAATTATAATATTATATAAAAGGTTTAACTAACTATTTTAATTAATCTAACCTTAGCACCTACCTTTTTCTAATTTGTTTATACCAATTTATATTTTGTAGATAGGTTTATATGCCAAGTATAATTGATTTAAAAAACATATTCTATTAACTATTACTAGGATTTTTATTATATTCTTCCTTTCAACTTATACTTTTATAATATTCTGATCTTACTTATTTATACTTCTTAGTACTTCTAAATTCTTTAATAAATACTTTATAAGACTTTTAATTAACATTGGTTGTCAAATCTAATGATATGAATATTAAACAGAATGCAATTCCTGTAAAGTAGCCAGAACAATGCTTCATATAATTATGTCCATATAATAATCTTTTTTAAAATTGCTTAATCAGATTAACAGATTTTTTTTTATAGTCTTATAAACTATAGTAAAAGAAAATAACCTATATAGGAACTGGAAATACACCAAGTATAATCTTGATTATTTTAATATTAATTGGATAATCAATATACTACAACATCTTTTTTAAAGATTACAATCTTAATGTCCATTGAATTAGTATATAAAATGGCTTTGCATAAGAAATAGTATATAATAGATTATAGTACCAGATATTATATAGGTTTTATTTAATTACCTTTATTTGAAATTGAATTGGTATCTTGTAATCTGACCTGTAAAGTATTAACCATTATATTATAGACCTACAGATTCATATTTAAAAGTTTTATTAATTTATAATTAATTAATTTATATATTAAAATAATTTAAATAATTTATTGTTATTATTTTTTTGTAAATAATAGAAAAAATTAAAAAATTTAATTTGTTATTCTTTTTTTAATTAAAATTTAATAATAATATTTTAATATATTTAAAAAATTATTTATTCTTTATATATTTAAATAAATAAATATATATATATATTATTTTAATTTTAGATAGTTTTTTTGTTTCAGACTATATATATTTTTAAATAAAATTTTGTTTATCAATATATATATATTTAATTTTTAATTTTTAATTAATTTGGATACTTGTCATATTATATATTGTATTTATCATTTTTATTAGTAGGCTTGCATATAACATCAACATCTCTTCAGTGTACTATGTTAATATAATATTTAACAAGTATGTTGCACTAGCAATATTAACTGAAATAACTATAAAATATATAGAAATGATTTACTATGTCATGGGAAAATTTAATTCGAGTACAAATTTGTAAAAATCAATATCGATATAATTTTCATTTAAACGTTTGTATTCCAAGAAGATATGAGCAATACACAAGTTTTATTTGTGAAGAGACCTATTGGGTTGTTTAATCCTAGAGAAACATTTAAAATTGTTAAAACTCCAATTCCTACACGTGAGGATTTGAAAAATGAAGAAATTTTAGTCAAAATCCGTTATTTGTCTTTGGACCCAGGTATATTATCAATTCACACGCTTATCCTTATTTTTATAAAAAAATTCTTTCCATTTCTTTATTCATTTCTTCTTAATTAGCGATGCGTCCATGGATGAACGATACAAGAAGGTAAATTTCAAGAACTCTACCGAGAATCTCTTTCAAATAATTAATTGACTTTTACTATTACAGTTACATGAAGCCTTTAGGTAATTGATCTTGCCTAAATCAATTTATTTTGTATGCGTATTTTATTATTACTATACTTAACAATTTCTTAGGAATCAATGACATTATGCGTGGAAATGCGATAGGAGGTACTTGTGCTTTTTATTTGATACGAATATTTTTTGAAATGAATGTTAATAAAGGAATTCAATCTATTGCAGAAGTTATCATCTCCAAGAATCCTCAATTCAAGGTTGGAGACATTGTTCTGAGCGCATTCGGTAATTTGATTTCAAGTATATTTGATCATTTAATCAAGTACACATGAATTTAAAAAATATAATAGGCTGGCAGAAGTATGCCGTTAGCAATGGGAAGGATGTCGTAAAGATTAAGTAAGAAAATTCATGCGATTATGAATAAAAAACCAATAAATCACATATATACTTGTTTTTTTATAAATTAGTCCTTTTCCTGGAGTTTCGATCTCGGATTACCTTGGCGTTTTGGGTTTGACGGGATTGACCGCTTACTTTGGATTATTCGATAGTGAGATTTAATTATACCATTATTATTTAAGAATTTTTCGCATGTACGAAATTCTGCGCTTCTACTTATATCATGTGGTTCTTTAATATTCGGCTGACCTCTTTAGTTGGTATGGTTTACATGCTATATACTCAAGAATAATCACTCAATTTTTATATGATTATTTACCTTAATTGCCGTTTGTTTTTACAGGCAAAGTTAAAGCTGGAGAGACAGTCGTCGTGTCTGGTGTAAGTTTTAGTGTAAAAATAACATTTATCTATGCAATTGATATATATTTTCCTTTCATTTTAGGCTGCAGGTGCCACTGGGAGTGTCGCTGGTGAGTATATAGGTTTCTAAAGTTGATAATTTCATGGCTTTTTCGGAATTTGTTTTAAAGAACGAAACCATAAAGGTCAACTCGCCAAGATCAAAGGGGCCACTGTAATTGGGATAGCCGGCTCAAAGAGTAAATGTGACTGGATAAAAAACGAATTAGGGTTTGATATAGCATTGAACTATCGAGATCCAGATTTCGTCGGTCAATTCCAAAAGGCGACGCCAAATTATATCGACGTATATTTTGATAATGTTGGTGGGGAAATTTTGGATCTCTGTTTGAGTAGACTTGCCAAAAATGCTAGAATAGCCTTTTGTGGAGCGATCAGTCAATATAATGAGAAGAAAATAAAAGGAATCTCGAATTATCCAGCATTGATTAGTAATACTGCTAGGATAGAAGGTTTCCTTATGTAAGTGTTTTGTGAAAGGGTTTTCAAGTGTTTTTATTGCCTATGCAAAAAATTTCTCAATATTTGATTAAATAATTGGATTTACAGATTCGATTATCAATCAAGATTTCCGGAAGCAATTAGAGACATTTCAAAATGGTTAAAAGAAGGCAAGATCAAAAGAAGAGAGTACATTATAAATGGTTTGGAAAATGCCCCTGAAGGCCTGTTGAAATTATTTAAGGGCGAGAATACAGGCAAATTTTTAGTAAATGTTGGTGATGATGTTAAGGCCAAACTTTGAAAAAGTGAACTGTTGGTATTTTAGACATTTGAAGTAGGCTCTATGCTTTCTTGCTTTATTCGATAAAGAAAGAAAAGATTGTTTAAAGAAATTGTTATTTTTGCGGACTTTATGAAAATAAGTGAACAAATGGTTGATTAATAAAGAATGTATGTACAACCATTGAAAATGCCACCATGATGTGTTTACATTTTTATAATTAGCATCATATAATGTTAATTTATAAATAGAAAGTAGTAGAATCGCATTAACCCCCTAATGAATTCGTGATGTGCATTCACCTTTTTTGTCTTCCTTTCAGAATATCCATAACCTTATTAACTACATTCTTATCTTTCATCTGCATCATATAAACGATCGGAGGATTGCCTGCATTCCCGACAATATTATTCAAGGTGATCGCAATAGAGATTTTACCGACTTTCTCAACTCCCGTTTCCCAAATAATCGTGTCCACCAATTTTGTCGAATTCTTTTCAGAGATGACTACAACTCGTTTCCGACGTGAAGGTGTTTCCAGTAATAACTTCATGTTACCCGATCCCAAGTTAGTCCAAATTCCGTGATCGTTCTTTAAAAAAAGTTTACATTGAGATTCTAAAACTATTGAGGAATTCTGATGTTCCACTTCACGGATTTGATTTCGGGAATTTTTTACGGGTTGATGTTGCTGAATTTGTTGTAGTGAAGAAGATCTTGAGACTACTTGAGTTGGAGCCAGCAAAGTTGGTTGCGGTACGAAAGGTGATGATGGACGGGATGTTTGTTTCGGAAAAAATTGTGGTGAGGATTGAGGAGATATTGGTCGACTAGTATATTGCTGAGGGAATTGGGATGATGGTTGTGAAGATTGGGGTTTTGTTGGGACAATCAATTCTTTGCCGTTTTGCAGTATGAGATCATTAAATTTCTCTATTAATTTTTCGGTCTCACCAGGAGTTGATAAAGATATTTTAAAAACCTCATCATTTTTCCCTATTTCTCTCTTTATACTAATGATAACGGTAAACGGAGAATCCTTCTTGATCAGACTGTTTTTGGAATCAACTAATTTTTGTAATACAATCTTTTTGTCTTTCTCCGACAAAGCGACCAAGCAAATTCGCTGTGTATCTGTCAGCCTTAATTCAACAGTAAATTCATCGTCTTTATTTTCTGTAATCGACTTGTAATTACCGTTTTCAACATGATAGCTAATTTCACAGAAGTGAAAAGCATGTAAAGTTTTTGTATGGTCGATATAATTATCAGTTACTGGTTCTGGTGTTGAACTCAAATCTAATGCCGAATGAGTAGGCGCGAGATATTCGTTCGAATTATTGTGAGAAACCTTATGCCTTTCTCTCGGGAACAAATTTGAACCGGAATTACTTGTAGAAGAATCGTTACTTCTCAGAGAAGATAAGGATGAAGATTTGTTAAGTTTCCCTGATCGCTCTCCGTTATCTAAGGATGAGGGTGACAAATTTTCGACGCTCAAAAATTTTCTCAAACCTTCACCAGATTCATTGCGTAAATTCGCAACGTTTGTGGGTTCATTATGTAAACTTATTCCACTTGGACTTTTTGCAGCATCATTAAATGTAGGTATTGCAATTTGTGGATTGCTACTAATTTTACGTAACATTTGTAATTTGTCTGCACCCATTTGAGTTCTTGTGCCTGTTTAAATATAGTATTCAGAATGAAAATTCAAAAAGAAAAATCAAATGTGCCAACATACCCACTAACGAAACCGCAAATCTGACCATGTTAGAGATCTCACTTGACCATTTTTCACTGGTAATCTTGTTTTCAGTAAAAAGTATCAAATTCTCCCTTTTTAAAATCTTCAAGGTAATCAAATCTAATTATTTTTTTTTTGAAAAAATGAGATCTTATCCGATTTCCTCGTAATCACAAAGGTTGAAATACAATTTTTTTAATTAACGAACCTTTCTTGTCATCATCACAAACGGAAATATGCCTTCCGCTCAATGGCGGATACGTTAACCAAAATTCTTTATCCGATTGACTTTGTTTTTTTTCATCTAAACTCTTTTTTTGGCAAATCAATAAAAGATCGGTTAGTAAGAAAACATGAGCTTGCTTTTGGTTGCTGGCTCTTTGCTTGTCTCCCGGAAATATCACGACAAACTCGTCATGAAGAATTAATTCTCGCTTGAACGGCAGGCGAGACGGGAGAAGCTCGATGTTAATTTGCTAGAATAAAATAATAATAATTAAGTTTCGGATCCGGAAAAGCGACCTTTTTTTTTTTCATAAGTTCACCTTCGGCTTATTTGTAAAGATATCTACGACTTTCGACGTGTCTAATTGGTGTTCAAATTCCTTTAAAGTCCATTCTCTTGCATTTACAGTGTTACTTGTATCTTTCTGTTCTTGTGAAATTTTTTTGCCTTCGGGGCTCGAGATTTTCTTCCTTCCTGATAAGTCCAAATCTTGGCGGGAGGAATCTAAAGAATTCGAAGATGACTTTCGTTCTATTTGAGAATCCTTTTCGACCTTTGTAGGATTTTTAAGTTCTGATGAATCATTCTGACTTTTTTGATGTGCCAGTAGAGTGTCTTTGCTTCCATTATCCGTGCTTTGTGATTCTTGCACATGAACGGTCTTGGAGATTCTTGATTTTGGTGATGATTTAACCTTTTTTTCTAACTCAATTATTTTTTCGAATTTTTCATTTGCAGCAATCAGATGTGTTTGATAGAAATTTCCGAATTCGGGAATCTTGGAAAAACGCTAGTTTAATTTTAAAAAATTTTAATTAATCTGAAAAAAAAAATAAAGGTTCCAAAATAAAAAGAATGAGCGCTAACCATATAAATTTTTTTATAATAACCGATCCTTTTAACCGGTATGTCCAGAAGGAATTCCAATGTTATTGGTCTGTTTCTTTCAGTGGTCAGTTTCTAGTAAAAAATATCGAATGCAAACATTATGTATCTCGAAAATAATTATTTCTTACAGAAAAAGTCGACTAGAACTTACATTTAAAACAGCTTGTAATGGAGAATGTTGTTCAACTTCTGGCCATGTGTCAATATCTCTTCTACATTCTTGACAATATTTGGAGTATGGTTCTTCCATTTCTTCTGCCTAAACGCCGAGAACAAACACATTATCAAAAAAAGGAATTTGTGACCTATCTTTGTTATTGAAAATTACCCATTTGATTAATAAGTCGGCAAGACCTTGTGTTGATTGAGATTCGGATATGTTTCTTAGTCGCTAGAATGTTATTTATAAAAAGTACGTTAGGGATGATAATTCAAGTCTTTTCAGTTCATTTTGATAGACCAAAAAACGATGCATACCAAATGAAAATCTTTATTCTTCTTAAAAATCTCACTGATCAGATGAAACATGAGACCTAACTCGGATGGCGGAGGGTTACCGCGATTCCAGCACGTGAACACTCGCTAAATTTTGTAAAGAGAAAAAATCATTAACTCAGTGATAAAATGAATCTTTTCCCATTCCGAATATCGATACAAACCTCGACCAAACATCTTAGATCATCGATGTATTCTTCCTCGGTTTCATCAAGATACTTTAGGGGGTTCAAAATTTGTGATCTAGGCAGAGTTACAGGTGATTTCTGTTCACAGCGTGACGGAGATATATTGATCTGTACGTATACGTATTTTTTTTTTTAAAAAAAAAAAAAAATTTCTTTTTAGTTCATTGATTTTAATGAGATCGATAATTTAGCTTTCTATACATACGGTGTCAATCCCTAAAGGTCTAGACATTTTTAGGTCAAATTCGTAATAAGAAATAAAATTTAATGAATGACAACGGGTGGGTAGAAATTTAAGAAAAAATATCCTTTATTCTCATAATTCAAAATTTCGGTTTATATATATACGGAGAAAAAATTATGTATCTTCTATTACATTTTGGTACATAAAGATTTGCTTATGTACGATCCATAAAGAAGCACGAAGAAATTAAAGTCGACCAATTATTCTAAGAGAAATATTATGAAAGAACGTCGATACATGTTACATTTTTTGATTTGTAAGACGGACACTTTTTTAATTTGTGGCAACCTGCACATCGTATTATTACAATGTTACGTTCTCGCATCTGACATATTGTAATATTTCGTATTAATTTGATTAATTATAAATTTGCATCAAGTTATCTTAATTTTTATTAGAATTATTAAATATTGTTTCATTTTTATTTTATTTTATTTTATTTTTAATGTGCGGATAATTTCACACTAAAGAAAATTTCATATACCTGATGAAAGATTATACATTTATTTCTAAGAAAACATAACATTCACTTTTACTTTAATTATGTTCGAATTATAAAAGACGTTTATAATATTTTCGATTTAGGTTCTTGAATTTAAAATAAAGAATCTTCAATATTTATATGAAATAATACTCTGAAAATCATAATTGAATATATGATATACTGTATTAAAAAAAGCGTATTTATTGCGTTAATGTTTAGTTTATATACAATATATTAAAATCATCTTTGAATAGATCTACAGTATACAGTATACAATTTATTAATTATTTTTATTACTTATGTATCCTATAAATAATTATTTAATAATAACATATATTAAAAATATCCATAATTCAAATAATAAATTAGAAATAAATAAAAAAATTTAAAGAAAATAAATAATATATTGCTATAAATTTACTTTTTATTATAATATTTATATTAAAATTTAATATAATAACAATTAATAATTTTTTTATTAACTTGTAAATCTATAATACAATAATAGTCAATACTTTTAGATTTTTATTTTAAGATATTAATTTCAATTTCAAATAAAAGTAATTAAACTGATTTAATATAATATCTAATATTATAATTAATTAAATATTATTTTTTATATAGATTTATTTTTTATATTATAATATTAAAAAAATATTATAATATAAGTTTAAAACTAGTGATAGGATTTCTATTCCTTAAAGATCACACCCAGGGTACAGATCCACCCCCATGGTGTCAATTGGTACACTGGATAAGTCTATAGGTGTAGAGCAAGGTTAACTTAAATAGACCTAAGTATATATGTAATTGGATATAAACTACTCAATAAAAATGCACATGCACAAAGCATCTTTCACCTGAAAAAAATATATATATATATATATTATAATACAATAATTATTTAATTATCATTACAATAATTATTATTGAGCTTAATACTTTTCCAGTTTTTTTTTAAAAAAAAATCTTAATAAAATAAATAAATTTATATATTATTAATAATAATACTAAAATTAAAAATTAAAAATTTATTATTCTTTTATTTTAATTTAATAATTTTTAATAATTTTAGATAATTATAAGTTATAAATAAAAATTATTCCAATTTAATATTTATGATATAAAAATATTATAAAAAATAATTTATAAGAATTATAAATAATAAAAATATTTAAAATAATAAAAATAAAAGTAATAAGCTATATAATAAATAGTTATAAATAATTATTTTAATAGATTTGTTATATAATAGTTTATATATTATTATAAATATTTTTTTAAAAAAATTTTTTTAAATTTAATAAGTAAATATAATTTAAAATTTTTATAATTTATTTAATAGATTTAAAAATATAATATATTAAAATTTTATATAATTTTATTTAATTATATAAAGTTATATAAAAAATAATCAAATTATTTTTTTTAGATAAAATTAAATAGTATTAAATTTTTCATTTTGTTAAAATTTATTATTATATATTTTGTATATTAATATTTTTTAAAATAGGTTTTATTAATTTTAAAAAAATTTTAAGATTATATAAATTATTATTTTTTCTTTTAACAAAATAATACAAAACTATATATTATTAAAATAATTATATAATTTGTTAATAAAAAAAGAATTTATATAATAAACTTAATTCTAATATCAATTTTATTAAGAATCTTTGAATCAAATAAAAAATTTGATATATTATAATTATATCTTTATATAGCCTAACTAATTTTATTTAAATTTAATATTTAAATATATTATTTGTAAAAAAATTAAGAAATTTATAAATAAAAATATTTTATATACAGTATTTTACTTTTTGTAAATATTGAATTAAGAATATATATTTGAAAATTTGAAAATATTATTTATTATATTATTAATTTACAAATTTTTTAAAAATATATAAATATATATAAACTTAAATTTTATAAAAATAATATAACTTATAAACTAGTTATAAATAAAAATAATTTTATAGTATTTATATTTTTATTTAATTTAAATAAGTTTTATTGGATTAAATATATTTAAAAATTTTATATAATTTTGAATATTACTGTATATATAAATTATTTTAAAATAAAAAAAACTCTCTCCTGATCACGTCTGTTTTGTTAAAAATTTTCCTTTTATGGTAATTTTAAGCAAGAAAAAATGTTTTACACTCTTTATCGCAAGTG